TACTAAATGGTATTTTCTATTTTTAAGATTTTTATATGAAGAATAATACTAAGTGTATAAACAGTAGAAGTTATTTTATTAACATATTAGAACAGTAATTAGAATGCAATTATTGTTTCACATTCTGAAAGGCCTAAACACTTTGCATACTTATGAAATTAAATCGGTCCAATCAGTATTTTTCGGCTATTTAACACCCTTTTTGGAGTTTTGATGCAAATAAATGGACCAAGCAGGCCGTAAACCTAAGAAGAAATTGTTTACAAACAAAACGGCAAATCGATAAAAACAGACGATGAAATATGAACAACAAGATCAACAAACAGGGGGTCGAACGTATAGCGGTGCGATACTCCTTTAAGCGAGGTGAATTCATGCGATACGCCCTAATGGCGGACGGGAGCGAAAACGAAAGTGGGTATGAGCTTGTTATTTTTCCAAATATTTGTTTTCTATTGTAATTTTTTGAAGAATAGCATTGTGCATGCTGATCAAAACTTATAATTGTGCATGATTGTCAAAATAAAATACTAAATTTTATAGAATTGAGGAAGTTATTGAGGTATTTGTTGCTGCAAATTCAATCGTCAACCTGATATGCACATGCAAACGAATAATGTATCAGTCGTTTTAAAACGAGAGATTCGATTAGTTTAAGTCCCAACATGTTTATTTTCGAAAACAAAACGATATACAAGAGTAGTTTTCTATATCTATCCGAAAATATATATAATATTTCCAGTTTTTTTACTGTACGCCTAATATTTGGTCCAATAAACCAACTGTACGCACAAATGTTGGTATGTTTTTATGTAGCAACTTCCTCATTACAGTACATTCTTATTCAATTTTGATGAAAAATCATGTTTTGAGTTTGTATGTTAATCATATGAAAACCACAGTGTCAATTAAAACAACAGTGTCAATTAATGTATTATACTATAGTATAGTTAATTTAAATATTCTTTTCCCACAAAGGTTAATCATTAAAATGAGATAAGTTATGCACAGAAATTTGAAATTCTATCAAGTAATCAATAGTCACGATAATATTCGTTTTGTTTCTTCCATTTTTTTACAATGAAACTTGAAATTTATAAAAAAAAATACTGGTTTGATTTCCTCTATGGATTGGATGTTATATATTATATACAGAGCACACCATTGTATTTCAGTAATTCTGATGTTTGTTATTTGCTCTGTCGCTTTGAATATATAATTATGCTACTCCATAACCAGTGTATACCAAACAGCTTTGTGTATTGCTTATGAAAGCATTCATACTTTTAGTGATTTAACATATCTGCCAGTAGTTTTACTTTTAAAACTGGCTTTCTCTGTAACATTTAATGTATAGCATAACCCTAAACTTTTTTGTAAAATATTCATTTCCACTAGGAGTTACTCTTATTGTTAAAGCAAGTGTACCAAGAGATTTGTACTGTTACAGGCCAACAGCACTTTTAACAGTATAAAATCTGGGCAAGTGTTTTTTTATGTGAATAAAAGTATTATAGATTACAGTATCTGTTCGGGAAATAAAATAAATAACACACAAGCGTTTGTGAGTAACAGTAAAAATATCAATCCTCCTAAAAATACTGTTTCCCTCGGCTAACACCTTGGCTAACAGTATTTTCCATGGGATGATATTTTTTAACTGTAACCCACAAACCCATGGTTATTTATATACTCCATAAGCAGTGTGACTCAATCTAATTTTATATACTCAAAAGCTTTTTGGTTTATTTGCACATGTGTCAGCATTTGTACTTGTGGTACTTTACCTATCTGGCAGTAGATTTGTTCGTTAATCAATTGGTAATGTTTTAATTGCTCTGCAACATTTACAACTGTGTATTTGCATATGTGAGCATCAGCTGTTCCTAAGAAAGACACTGAGCTGTTTGATGTCCAATGACTGACTGAATTTTGAAATTGTAGTTTTGTGTTTTTTCCTGACAGGCCACAATTATGTGCACTACAAAAATAGCCTGTTCTAAGCAAGATTTTAGAAAAGAATTTTACCACCTAAAGATTTTTACCACCTGGTTCTCAGTCTTTATCTCTAGAACAGCAGTGAAATGTACTTTCAATGTATTTTATATTTTTTTTGTTTGAAATGTTCAATTCTATTTATAATATGAAAAAACTATCAGTTTGACAGCAGCATGTACAAACGATCTTAGAACCTCATGAAGTAAAACAGCCCTTATATCACATATTAACTTAATATTATATGGTAGATATTTTAGTATAATCATAGTAAAACATGTACAGCAGATGTGAAATGAAAAATTACAAAATTTTTAAAAACCGACAGTTATTTTATCGTCCCAAAATTCAGCGTAAAACTTAAAATATTTTGCCCCAAAAGCGCTATGATATCGGACCCAAAAAAGGTATTTGCTAGAAACTCAATTAGTACTTTTGAATAAAGAAAAAAAGAAATTAACTATTTAATAAATTTTTGCAAAGCATTTATTCACCGACCCAAAATAGTTGCCGTCATTTTCCTTTCAAAAATTTTTTTTAGTTATAAAAATTTGGGCCCCTGTAATTTGATAAATGTCGTCGGTCCTATCTTCCCCCCTTTTCAAAATATGAATTTTTTAAAAAATTTTGAAATACCTTAATAAAAAAAAATCACTCTGACGTGTTTTACATGGGGGTAAAACCGCCATTATGCGTACGTTGGAAAAAACCTCGCTTAAAGGTATCGCACCGCTATACGTTCGACCCCCTGACAAAGAAGGGAGACTATCAATAAACGCATCCCCCGTCACATGACTACCGGCAAGTCGCCAAGCAGGACACCAGACATAACATGGCACACGGGCAAACAATGGACGGGATGTCAATTTAAATCACCCAACGCTTAAGTGATAGAAACCTACAAGAAAGTAAAAGGAGAAAACTTATGAAAAGGTCTACAAAAAGGACAAGGGCAAAGGGGAAGTGGTCAGAAGGACGGGAAAGGGGGAATGGTGGAGAAAATTGAGAAAAACAACCAGGGGAAAGGGACATGATACTTACCATAGACGAGAGAACAAGAAGGGGCACAAAAATGTCAATGGAAAATACATGCATCAGAGGCATTGAAACGGTCAGCAGGATAAGCATTGCTTGGCATGGTAATGGTGCACCAAACCTCACTCTTAGACCCAACATGTTCCTTTTAAAACGATGCATTGTAAATAAAAAAATCCCTCTAAGTGAAATTCTTACTGATGATATTGTAACTATAGGTGAAATAAGTAAAATCATAAATCATGTTTGAAATGTCAGATGTAATCGAAAGAGGCAAGCGTATTTTTGAAATCAAAAGAAGAAAGCGTAGTGTCCAACTGTAAAGGTTCAAAAAGTTTGTCTTAAAATAGTAGGGTAATGAACTCTTTTAATAAAATGTTTAGTAATTTTGAACTACAATAAAACAAGATCGTACGAAGTTTTTAAATCACAACCCCGTTAAAAGCAATTTTACTCATCTCTAGTCGCGTCGCTGAATAGTTTTCAATACAGTTCAGACCAATGTTATTTTGATTCTAACAAAACAAAGTTACAGAGATAACGGTAGAAATTGTTTCTTAAGTAAAAATTAAAAATCTAATAGTGTGGTTCAAAAATAAAAATTCTGAACCGACAGTTTTCTTACACCTTTTATCATCAATTGACTAATTCACCGATAAAAAAAATCATGGGTCACGCGAATACTGTGAAATTACTGTACTGGATGTAATAAAAAAACAATTGAGTCGGTTTCTGAACCATTTAAGTATCAGGTGTGACACTTGGTAAGTGACTTGATAAAATCTTAAGTAAATTTCTGATACTATCTAAGCTAAATTGCTAATGTTTTATCAAATAATGATTAACATTGAGAAATCACATGATGCATACACTGGAAGACCATTGGTTTAATCTTATTGAGTGTGAAATAAATATGATTTTTTGATGACAAAAAGTCATCAAATATAATCATTATAGAGCAATTTTCACAGTCAAAACGGAAGTAAAAGAAACTAAATATCTGTTAGTTATGGAACCTTATTGTTTTTTTCTCTCTCAAACTTAATCTAACAGACACCACTATCTTTTGCATCAATATAAAATCAATTACCTTTAGATATACAGTGCACAGTCACACCTGTTTTTAAAGACCACCAAGGGGAAGCAGCAAAAAGTGTGTCTGTTCTCTATTTTTACAGCATATGTAACCTTCATGACGAAGAGAAAAGACATTTCTGTCACTTGGCCAATGAAACGTATATAATTTAAACATTTCCCTCTTTTGCGACTCTGTATGAACGGTAATACAGGGCTCGTATTAAACTTGTTCTGTAAATCCAGTATTGAAACTTTGTTCATTCCAAAGCCTCTATTTAATGATGATATCAAATGTTTTAAACAAAACTGCATCAAGATAAGTATAAAAATACTTATTTCCAACTTTTCTAGAAAAATTTAAGAGTATTGAAGTACTATGTTTGACAAATGTATATATACATACATTTTGTGTCTGTAAACATAATATATTGGCATCCTACAAAATACTTACTCCGTCACATGCCACACTTACCATGTTTATATGAAAATGAATGATAATAAAAATTACGGATGATATTTATGACGATGACAGTGATGATAATGATGATGGTGATGATGATGATTATGATGATGATGATGATGATAAAACTGAAGATTATGAAGACATTTTATCATTTTCAGTGCTCATTTTTATGTTGTACCCAGCACAGTTGCTCATTATGATGCAGTATACGACCATTTAACAAACAAAACATAAAACAATTAATGGAGTACTGAACAGTTCAGTGTTAAGATACCATTTCATCATACAATCATCCCTAAAATCATGTAAATTATAGGAAAATTGGTATCTACTATAAAACGTGAGTAGCTTGTTGAACACCGGAACCTGTCATAATCATTAATCAATGCAATTTGGTGTACAATTTAAAGCTTAAAGTGAGGTAACATATCTTAAATCAAAAACAAATAATTCTACAAGCATCCGAGTGTGAAATCAACAACTGTTAGACTATGACAGTTATGGATTTGTTCAACTTTGAGATTTGCTGTATTTTATGGTTCGTTCCAGGTAAAATTTATTGCTTTCAAATAAAACTATGTCTTTTATCTGTAAGGACGTCACTTAATCTAATGTTTTGAAAACAAAAGACTGTCGTGAAACATGTCTGTTGCGAAATATTTGAAAATATTTTAGGTGTTATATATGTATGAACAATATAGATGGTGTTAATGTTTTTGTGTCCACATGATGGGATGGTGGCAGAGTTCATCAAGTGTGTATATGTGATAAATAATTGTGTCATGTCGATAACCTGCATGCTGGAAGTTCAAAATAACTTTACACAGTGTCACCATAAGAAGAATGTGTCGCGATTTAACGCATGCATCTTGCTAAGGTGAAGATGACAAAGGGTAATTGAAGTTATTATGTAAGTTATGTAGTATGAAGTGCAATCGGCACTCGTGCAACAATAACTTAAGCATAGATGATTGTATTTCGTTTCTAAAAATTGTTGTACATGATCACCATATAAGTAGATAATATGCCACTTGCAAAACCTAGCTTGAAAGTCACTGCAGAAGATCTGATTTTGTGTTTTATTATATGTCTTACGTTTATCAAAGTCCATTTCTCTAAAATATCAAAGCTCTTCAATCAAATGTGGTATACATGTTCTCTATTTTCACATGTGACAACATGTGCCATTAAAGGACATGTTATCATAGTATTAAGATTTGCTCAGTTATGCCTTTTTTGACATTCATTTCTTGGTCTACCTTTTTGCTAAAGTACATTGATTGCTGGGCACCCATGTCTTCAGGACTAGTGTACTTCATGTTTCTTCTATTTTATTCTATATGTAAGAGAAAACGTCGGAAAACTATGTGTTTTACAATATGTGGTAGTTGTGTCTATGAACAGTTATTTTATACATTTTATTGTTTTATTTTTGTTAACTTCTGGAAAAATACATTTAAAATATTTTATGATACAATAACATATATATAGAAAGTCAGCATGAGAAACCGATCCTTAACGTCATTTTACAAATGACGTCAATAGACATTAACCGCTATTGAAAGTGCCCTTGAATAAATAGCTAGTAATCAGTAAAGGCCCTGTCACACTAGAATGCGCTTTCACTGCGTTCGCACGGCGTTGTTAAATTTTACAAAGCGCCGCGAGGTCGCAATAAAAAATGTGATATTGTTGATGTCATGAAGACTTCACGGCGTCTTCACGGCGTCCTCACGGCGATCATGGCGATGCTACGGAGCTTCGACGGCGTTTTAGTTGGCGATTGTCTACGTTCGGACTGCGCTTCTATGACGTTCTTTGCGCTTTCACTGCGCATTTATGGCGCTCATACGACGCTCTCGCGGCGCTCACACTTCGTTGAAATCTTAAAGCTCCGTAAAAGCGTCGTGCACACGCAGTTTAAGCGCGGTAAAGACGTCGCACAGTCTCCGTACAAGCGCCGTTGATAACCACGGCGTTCATTCGGCGTTCCTTTTGCGCTTTCGCAGCGCTCCTGTTGCGTTGTAGGAGATGCTACTGGGTTGCTACGGCGTCCTTACTGCGATGCTACTGCGCTCATTTTAGAACGCCGAGTGACGGCGTTTGTTTTGAGCATGTTCAAAATGCGCGCCGTTGGTCGGCGTTCTATGCGATGCCACTACGATGCTACGGCGATGCTGTGGCGATGTTTGCGATCTTACTGCGCTCACCTTGGCGTTCTGAATTTTCTTTGGACGCCGTGAGAACGCCGTCCTAGTGTGACAGGGGTTTAAATGTCAGAAGTTATTTGTTTATTTCAAGAAATACGTTATTGGATATCTTTAAAAATTCAATATGTGAATCGAAAAAATAGTAAATTACGTGAAGGGTTGTTTCGTCAAGCCGGCAGTCTTTTTAATTTTATTTATTATTGATATCATTTTATGCAAACACTTTTTGCAATTTCAGTATCGAACGTTCAATCGCGTTGTGATGGACGTACAGAACCTAGTATGTATGGAAATCTTTTTAAATTTAAACTTTAGCATAGTCATTATCTCATAAAGATGCCATAATAATCGAATTATAAGTGTATGACTTTATAACATTCAGTTCTTCATGGTCATTTGTTTTAAAAAGTCCCATTTTCTACTAAATGAGTTCACAGAGGAATCTAAAGGCGTTGACAATATCTTAGAAGTTGATGTATGACAATTTTTTTCTGAATCTACAATATTGTTTCTTGTTTTTGCTGTCGGAATTTAAAAATTAAAGTTTGAAATATATTGGCGGTGTTAATTGAAATTTTATACGTTGTTAAACAGTACAAACAGTAAGTTATTGTGTGTGTTTTCAGTTATTGAAGTATGTACTGACCAGGATGTTACAAATACAAGTGCAATAGTTATAGATACAAACAGAGTTCCGATATTCAAGGAGACATCATGCGAATGTGTGATTACATCCTTCAGTCTGCCTCTCCATTTTGTTTTCAATGCATTCCATTTCACCGAAACAGACAATTCACGATTTGAAATTAAGGATATTGCAATAAAAAGACATCAAGCATATGCTGTTGTAAATTTAACAGAAGCTACAAAACTTCATTTTTCTACAAATGGTTTCTATAGATCCAATAGAGTTTGCGTGTTGGTTTATCCAGGTATGTGTTTTCTGTACTGCCTCATAGTAACATGCAAAGGTTACTAGTATTTACATTTTTGTTTCTAATGGTTGTATGTTGTGTTTCGATTAAGAAAACAAAAACAATTAACAAATATTATATCATTTTTAAACTTAAAAACTTTTTTTTATAATTGATAAATATTCAGCTTGAACTTATACTGACTGAAAACTATTATATGTAATTGACAATTTGTTATTGTCTTTACACGTTAAACATACTGATAGAAGACACATCAACAAAATTCAATCAATACATTGCAATAGATTCTTAACAAAAGGAGAGCATTTATTGCCTTTATTTGAAATCTCATACTTCCTTAAGTCTGTATACTTTAATTGGGATATTTTCTTTTGCGTGAACTTTTAGTATAGATGTATATTCATTTTTTAAGAAATAATAAATCCCAAACAGTGAATTTGATGCTAAAGAAGTTCTTTTTGTCGTTCAGATGCGCAACATTATATCACTCGGCCTTCACAGTCCTCGTTATATAGTTTCCAGCATCAGAGCTCCAAACATTGATTTTATAAAGCGATAAAATGACTTCTTTGTATATGTTGTTTTTGTTTTTTTCGATTCTAACACGACATCAACAAAAACTGGCTGCATACCTGGTATCAACCTAAACTCAGTATGATGTTTCAGTAAAAGTTTTCAGCGCGTCGCATTTTTAATAGTTTTAATCCTTCTACATGTTCAATACAGAAAAATGCGGGTCGTGTTAGAATATACTTTTCCACACGCTTTAATATTGATTTCAAATTTGAGGTAATCATTTTAACGTTAATAATGCCAAAACGTCTCCGTGTACATCACTTGTGGGAATCTATTTAAGAAGCAGTATAGATGTGATGAATGAACAATAAATATATTATAGAAGATGGAACTGGATTCAACATTTCTTGTTCGAAAGCCACAAATGAGACAAAAATTCCAGTAACGGTTACCCAAGGAAGTGAAATAACAGAGATAACATTAGAGCCAAATCATGATAATGGGTTGCCTTCAGCAGACAATAATTGTGGAGAAAACAATGTTACAAGTAAAGTATTCTTTGCAACAAAATATGTTGGATTTACATCTAAATTCTAGTGTAATGAAATAGACTAGTGTTAGATTTACAGAAAACTGAAAAATGTGATTCATATTCGTATAAGGAACACATAGTGAGCCTCTATGTTACCATAACTCTTGACCGATACTTAATGCCCGATTTTCACTGTTTTTTTTAATATTATAATATTTATGTCTTTAAATTAGACAATTAAACATTCTGTAATTGCATTGCTTAATGTAAATGATCTTACAGCAATTATTTAAATATTAGTATAAATTTCACAAAATAACATTTAATTGTCATTTGTTTTTAAATAATTCAACGTTTTTCCTCCACTTTATAGCCATTATAATACCAAGTGTGATTTGTGCCATGCTGCTTGTGATTATAGTATGTTTCCTCGTTTACATTAGAAGGTAAGCACATTTTAAAATGTTTTGTAATCGACTGCGGTTTATACATGATTATAATAACCGTTTGTAAGTCAGGCGTTATCTTTATATTGAAGTTTCTCTATAACTTTGATGCAATTGTATTCATAAATTATAAATTTATCCTTGAAAAGTTTCAAATGCAAATTGAAGAAACGTGTTTGTAATAAATAAATGTATTTTGATTGATTCCTATTTCGTCAGATATTACCATTCCTTAATAACAAATTATTTGTAAAAGTTTCGACTAACATAAATATGGATTCAGATTAAGAAGTCAAATTGAAAGCCAGCATCAATTGGACAAACCTCCCCATACAGTGCATATATCAGTAATAGAGACACTACCAGATCCAGATCAAGTCCCAAGTCAAGAAGAAAAAGTTGCTAGCGCATCTTTCAACACATATGAACGATTAAACATGTATGATAATGAAAATTGTAGTGCTGAGATGTATCAACAACTTGATGTTGTTAATGGTTAAAGGCATTGAAATGCCATTGTTTTGGCAGCAGAAATGGCCATAATTGGGACAGTATCAAAAAAAGATTAGCTATGATTTTTGGCTATTTTGTTTATCTTCCTTAAAAGTATATTATATAAACTTGTCTATGACGGTATTGTTCCTTTCACTTTCTAAACCATTGCGTTACAGATATTGAAAAGTATATACATGTAGTTCCTTATAATTGGGTTATTTTTATTCCTAAGAACTTATCTTTATTGGAAATAAAACTTCTGTCATTGAACGCTTTGTTAATCATGAAAAAATGATTTCAGCAAAAATTTGTATTATTTTAGTCCATAAGATATTAAGGATACTCGTACAAGAAGTATCCACGTGTCTTATTATTCTGTTTAATAAAGCTTTACAAGTGAAGCTTTGTTTAGTTTAGATTCCAACTCGTAAGCTTAAATAAAGAATTTTGTGTTCATTAGTAAAACGCAAGAAGAAAACAATAAGGATAATGTCTAGACTTCTTTAATGAAAATGTTACGCTTCATGAAAATGTATAAATGGGTTATCCGTGTGTACATTGTTTAGGAAATAAGTATCAATTTTGAACGCATTGTTGCAGAATAATGCACGGTTTTAGTTCAAATATGAAAGAATATAATCACAAAGGCCGATAGGCCTCAGTGCTTAATTACAAACCATTTCAATGATAAACCGTGTATTTGTATACCATTATGCAATAAAGATAAATAAATATTTCTATTCTATCATGCTAATATAAAAGGGAACTAAAGAAAGTATGTTGACCTACATTGAGCGTAGAAATATTTTTTTCTGGCGTCATTTGGTTTATTGACTTCATATCTGACGTCGTATTTATTTGAATGCTCTTCATATATATCGTGAAATAAGGCACTTGATTTCCATACCTGTTTGATAAGGGAATAGTGTGAAGCGTGTAAGAATAATTTATTTTAACATAATGTTGTCACCTAAAACAATACATTTGCTTTTAAAATAACCTGTTCACATAAGTCTCGCAGTGTTACAAACTTGTTTCTTTCTTTGCATGACACAGGCACAGCAGCATGAGTTACATTTACAAATTATACAAGAACTACACAATGAATACCCTGAAGGGAAAAGAAACACAATTTTGCCATTCACCACAACGATCGAACGGCACCAGTTGATGGTGTTTACGTCCCCACAACACTGAATCTGAGCAGCCATTTCACGTCCTGTCCAATGAACAGACGTTCGTAGTTTAAAGTATTTATAAATGCCGAACTGCTCTCGAATCGTTAGTCATACAGACAATAGCCGCTAACGTCAGGCAAAATTAAGAAAATTGAATTTAAATATAATAATGTATTCGAAAACTGACCATATAACCTGTCACGTTGTGAAATAGACAAACCACTACAATTTGTAGTTATAGGTAATGTTGCAATGGTCTTGGTTTACATTAAAATCAAATATTTTATTGTATGGTGTCATATGGACCCTCAAGCAAATTTATTTATATACCCGTTTGTTAGCGAGATAATGTATAATCATTTATGTTTTCCTTATACGTGTTCATGGTCACGCAAAATAAATAAAATCATCCTATGAAACAGCTTTTATTCTTAGTAAACGAAAACTTGATACAATATGCTTGCGATATTTACTTTATACTTCTGTTGTAGATTCAAGCCTGGGCTTCAGGACTGTAACAAGCAGTTATTGGTCTATCAAAATATTTAAGTATAATTGTTAACTGAATGTGAATTTCTTACCAAGGACTTTACTGACTACTTTTAACTTGAGTTTTTCCTTCATTTTAAAGTCATATGTCCGTAAACATGACAAGCAACCTTTAAACTCTTAGGTTTCATCAGCATTGGTAAGTTAAGAAACCTCTGTGAGATCATTTGCAATGATTCACTTGTTTTTAATCTTTTATATGGCTGTGTTATGTATTAGCCTTGAATAAATCTTGATTAAAATGTCCTCATAAATATCAAAAATAGATTCGTAATTACATAATGATAACTAGATGACGTGAATAATAAATAAACAAAACTGAAAAATGGCGTTGTTTAATTATCAAAGACTTCCATTTAAAACATTGGAAACTCAGGGTAATAACACCATTTTTAACCTCAGATTTCAAAATTTCTTAATCTATGTTCGGGGCCACCCCTCGCACACCCATCCCATGTACAAAATACTGAGTAATCTTCTAAACCACACAACGTTCATGTCCCATCGTTCTCTTTCATTTTGTCAAAATCTTTGGTTTTTGAATTTAAAGGAATAGGAATGGATGGATTGATGTCTGTCTAATATAAATATTCATCATTAAAAAAGAGGTACCATGACAGTTTTTTTTGTTGACATCAACCCTTTAAGTGAGAAATTCGTATTTTAAGACACTATTTTTTACTTGAGAAATAAGTTCATGGGCGCCGCCATTTTGGCGTTCTGTCATTCTCGCGAGACAGACGAGACCGAGATTGTGACGTGTTATACCCACTTCCGGTAAAGGTGTACACGCTGGTACAACTGAAATATATCTTGACGAAGAACTTAATTAATCTTATTGCGTACATTATTTATTATTTATGAAAACATCATATGGAACTGAATTGCTTTAATTAATTAATTGAAGACGCCGCGGCATTATTTATCATTAATTTTGTCCGATTTTCAAGCTTGCTGATGATCCCACCACATGATTTAAGCAATGACTGCTTAAATTAGTTTTCAAAGATAAACCATCAATTTAATTTGGGTACTTTGAGAACTTTCTTCAAATTGACGATATATCCTTTTATTTGGTACTTAATTTTCGCTAGACAAGCTGTCTGAATAGGGTACATCGCCGGTCATGTATCTTTTTCTCAGCGGTAAATATCAACTAAATCCAATATGCAGATATTTCCTGAGGACGCGATTTTCCGACATTGACGTTAAAAATAAAATGGCGCAGGAAAATCGGCAGCTAGACTAATATCGTATGAAAACAAAACTGTCCGTTCGGTTAATTAGGCACCCAGTCAAAACTGGTACCAACAGCAACAGGTTGCCCATTGGGCATAATTCCCCTATTATTACGCATATTTTCGGGTTTATCCATTTCCCTATAGCTTTTTTCCACGTTATCTACTTACCACACAGATACGCATTTCTACTACCGTAAATTTAATCCAATAAAACATAAATCTACTTAATATTCAAAATGATTGGTAACTGAAAAATGTGTTGCTATTGTATGAAATGCTGTAATTTACAGTATAACTTGACTACCCTAAGGTCATTCAGTTCACTGATGATGCGTAAAAAAATATGTCTATTTCGTCATTAGAATATTTGACAACTAAAGGGTGATTAACCAATCAGGGCAACATTGTGCATGATCAAAAGTTCTGTCGGCACAGAGGCATACAAGGAGCAATAAAAACCGTTAGTACACAGTGTGACAGGAACATTTTGTGCAAATTAGGAACAATTAAAATGGATAATACACAGTATTAGTCATAAGTAGTAAGAACCAGCAATTGTGTGAATAAATTATGCAAATGAGATTTTTGAGCAGCCAATAAAAATGTTTTGCAAGCAGTTAATATTAAGCTACGATTACGATGTAAATAAATACCACGAAGCATCATACGTTGACAGACATGTAAACAATTTACTTTTCGAAAGAGTTGCTTATATTTTTGAAATGTGTACATCACTACTAACATATGTTCACACCTTTTAATTTGAAAGTCAGAATCAAACTGCAAACATTTAATTACATGTACTATTTAGAACACGTTTTAGTAGGATTTTAATAATAATGATAATTATCGCCGTTCAATAATTAACAGCCAATTATTCGTTGGTGCGTTTGTTTATTTAATTGCATTATTTGATTGTGAAACTTTGTTAAATAATAACATGTGTATTTATTAATTACATTAAGATGAGACTTTAATGAACATAGCATTGTTTGGAGTAACGGGCATCACTGGCCTGAAGTGGTGCGACCGGTAGACGTTGATTTTTTATTTGTTTCTTTATTTTTTTTTATTTTTTTTATTTTTTTATATATTGTTACGTATTTTGAACAATAAAAAAATCGCCTCTACACCTCCTGTGAAAATTAAATTGTCTGGTCAATACTTTATTAATATGTAAATGTTTCGCTACGATTCAGCTAGATTTATCATAAATCTAAAGATGTGGGGAAATGACATCACGCGCACCTGTTTTTATACGGCCAATACACAAACATGGCCACGCCTACTGATTTGTAGAAATCGGCGATTTAGCAATTTAAATTTCGTTATCATTCGTTTAATATTATTATTTGGCGGCAGAAAATTTGCAGATTTATTATTTATAGTATTTGTTTTCTGAAATCAAGTTTTTATTCTAACCTTGTTTTTCCCTTTAAAGATGTTACAAAATGCTGAAAATGGAACCATTTGATACACAAACACTCAGACTGTTATTCTCTGATCACATGTCAGGCCCTCAGTTAGTCCTGTTATACATCTGTCCTTGTATTTAGCAAGGTGCAGGACGTGAAGTGGTTGCGCGAACGAAATGGTTGCAAATTTGACAAAATGGCGCCCGTGTCATGAAAATGTATAACGTTTGCTTGGATTTTGTCCAGGTATGTTGGTTTGTATCATATTTTGAAGAAAAAAATCAAACCAACATACAAACCCCATTGCTTAAGTATAATCCGTGTTTTACATCGCTTTGTTTATAAAAGTGTCACATTAATATTATGGTATTGAATTCATGAATTTATCATAAACTGTTTATAAATTTATGACTGCAATAAAAACGATATAATCAGGATAAAGCTTATAATGTGTAGTCCATGCAAAGAACTTATTCATAAATAAAACAAATACATATTATACTACAGTTTGTATTTTAATCCAAATTTCTGGTCGTAAATGAATGATACTAATGGTATATGTTGGTTTTTTTTAAAGAAAAACGAGTATATAAAATAAAATAATAAATAAGAAGTATTTCCGGGGCATGGTGTATCATCTTCCGGTAGCAGTAAATAGGACATTAATAAAACGCTTTTAATGCTTTAATGGAGAACCGATTAGCGTTAGAAAGCGATGTTTAAATATAAAACATACTTAATAAATCTTCATTAGTAAATTTGGTACTTTTGTATTAATCAAAGGAGTTGTAAGCCGTTGTAAGATGTAAGGAGGGGCAAGCCGGTGTTTCCTTGAGCAAGAAACTTTGCTTAGTACTGATTGGTTCCAGGAACGGATTCGAGAATGTTTCAATAAGCTAAACTTCCGACACAATCGAACTAAAATAAATTTGTATAAACTAATTAAAGGTGTTTCAAACCGTATAATATGTTTTAACTCTGTTTCTATTTCTGTTCTTTTCATTCCATGTAGTGTGATCTCATAAAGGTGAGGCAAGGCAATATACGTCACGATGAAAGCAATTTCTTTCAATTAGGGATGGATTGGACCACCAAACATAAAACATGAAAACAACAACAAAAAAACATTACTCATATAACACTTAATGCATCCCCCGAGAAGGTACGATTATTTTTGACCTTATGTTCCTTTTATAGGGGTCTGTAAGCAAATGTTACATGCCCTTATATAAGCTTTATGCATTAATAGTATAATTTTCTACAAAAAGTTTAGATATATAATGAGATAATCAATGCCAATTTGATAGAGGTCCGCAAAGGCAATGCTATATGCCAAATATCTTAGCTCTATTGTGTTTCCTATACACAAGTCTAT